GCCTCGAGCGACTCTTACGCTTCTTTCTTTTTGTTTTATAACATAACATTGATACATTGTAGCTAAAGAGTTCCCTTTTATTTAAAAAATCTTACGCGACCAGAAAAAGCAAGCAAGCGCGGAAAAGTAGTCTTTGCATTTGCTCACGTGAGCAGGGTACACCCATGGGCAAATGGGGGACGCTAAATTGACCAATCAGAGCGCTCGCTTTACTTTGGTTATGTTATAATTAAAGCTTTACCACACATAATAGACTTTCCCAATGCTAAGGAATCGAAGCTTGCAACACCTTTTTTGTACCACATTTATCCTAGCTACTAGGGAAGTAACTTTACTTTATTCCGGTGTATTGATATTGTTGTTTTGTTTTGTTTTGCTTTTTCCTTAGTTAAACCAGATAATGTCACTTTGGAAACGAACACAACAGAGAACAATGGCTGCGTCGACGTTTGGGTGACTTTCACTTGCAACTCATCTGAAGCCAATCCTCCAGTTCATAATTATATGCTCCTTAAGAATGGTACAGAGGTCGGTTTTAGTGAGATTGGGACATGGCTAGAGAAAATATCACGAGACAAAACGTTTATCTACAGTTGCGTGGCTTTTCAGCTAGTTGACAATATGACAAGCACAAATAGTGTTACTGTGGCTCGAGGTAAGAGTGAAATATGTTTAATTAAAATCCAAGATCACCATATTGAAGTATTGAATAGCTTTTGAATGTGAAACCTTCTGCTGATTGTCTGCTGATTAATTACTTCTTTGAAAATATTCCCTCAAGTCCCAGTTACCGTGGAACAGATACAGAGTTTAACAGTCATCGAGGGTACAAATGTCACAAGAGAGTGCAATGCGACTGGAGGGTCTCCTCCCCCTGCTGTTTTTTGGGAGAATGTTAAAAGTGGTCGGTTTATGGCAGGAAGGCTGTTGAACATCACTCACATAACAAGATTTCAAACAGAGTACAGATGCATTGCAAATAACATTTGTGGAATGGACTCTACGACGATGTTTATTGATGTACAGTGTAAGTACACAAAGTTACGGTCTTGAGTGCAGTTTCAGCGAAGTGACTTGTGTGGTTTCTTTTTGCGGTAATTTCCCTCCATGCCTCAAAGCGATTGACGTATCTAAATATTTCTGGGGTATGGAATGGGGTGTGGTAAAACAAAGGATTTACCGCAGAAAGGAGGGAATAAGGGATAGAAAAAGGTTTTTGCTTTTGACCCAATTTACTGAAGACTGTGATTTTTGGTAGTTTTGTATACCCGTCTTCACTGAGAGTGCAACCGTTCTTTCTGTTACCTTTTCGTATCTAGATAAACCATCATCTACCCAGTCAAGCTCTATCGTTAAACTGGTGTTAGGAGAAGATAGGTCTATTGGTTGCCCTGTGGATATCGGAAACCCCCCGGCTGTCATTACGTGGTTTAAAGGAAATGATACCAATGGTACTAAAATAGCCATAACCTCAACTTTGGAGGTTCAAAGCGCCGTTCTAAGTGACGAAGGATGGTATATCTGTTTTGCAAAAAATGTCCTGGGAAATGCAACCGGCAATTTGTTGCTACTGGTTGGTAAGTTGAATTTGTAAATGTTTAAAAAAAAATTTCCAATCGCGTCTCCTACTTATGTCCACAATATTTTAAAGAAAGTCTCGCTGTTATTCTAAAGAAAATACGAGACATTAAGCAAGTGGCTTAATTAGCTTTCCCCTAACCCTCAAAGGTTTTTTAATTTTTTGTAAGGCGTGCGAGAACTGTCTCTAAATGGAAAAATGCGAAAAAAGGTCATGATATAATGAAGACAATGGCATTATCTTTCCGAAATGAATGATGTACTATTTTACGATAAATGAGATGAACTCAATTATACGGATTAACTGTATTAAGTGTGTTTAACTTGAAAAAGTGCATCTAATATTTTTTTAAAGGAAAACGCGAATTCGTTGGCTTTTGATATCAAAAAAAGAGGAAGAACACGTTAGGCTCCATATTGAAATTTATCTACACGAGAACTACACTTTAATTTTGTCACTTGGCATTTTCCCAAACGTGAATTTGATAGTCTATTGTATGATAGTCAAAGTCTGTCGTTGTTTTGAGTTTAAGACTTTGAAATTAATTTTTTCTTAGATTTTATGAACCTTTCTGTATTTCCTTACACTATTTAATGCCTTTTATAATGATCATGATAATAATCATGATAATTGTGTTCGACGTTAAGAGCACGTATACTATTCATATCGCTTCTTTCCGATTGTTGTGCGGGTTTCATGTGCCACCTTGGACTGGCTGTTCACTTACCTCGATTTCACGCGAGGGTTTTGAATCCCGCTGGTTAGTTAGCTCAATGAAGAACTGCAGGGAGACTCGCTTTGGTCTGGATGCCATGGGAAGATATTTAGATTAATACACCGAATGCAAATATGGCGTCCAATTTAAATTGCCATTGTTCTGGACTGACTAGCCTCGTCTTCACGTGGAAATACAAGAGGATTATTACATGTGTGAGAAGCTAGTCAGTCCAGAACAATGGCAACTCAAATTGGACGCCATATTTGCATTCGGTGTATTGCACGTATTTTATCGAACGGAACGAGTTACTACACTCAGAAGTGTGAGGCACGCCGCGGTTCGATATTTTTAGGTTTCATTATACACTGCCTAAACAAAAATATTCATTCTTAAGCTGTAGCGAGGGCACTTTACTAATCCACGATTATCAATATTTCTAATAGTATAATGATATTGGAAATAATAATAGTTTTAGAAAGTGCAGTTTGGTAGAACTCAGGTCCTCCCCGTTACCAGGTACGTAAGTCGAGCGTCTGACTTAGATATTGCTTCTATTATTAAGCAGTGCTATATGCTTGGTACAGCGAATACACGAAATTAAAAATGTCACGTCGTCATTAAAAACCATATTTTATATTTTTTCCTATTTAATCCAGTATTACCTACAGCTGCTACCCCATCCCCTACAACTCCCACAGGTAAATGATTTTTCATTTCTTTCTTTTTTTTTTTTTTTTTCGGAGACATTTAAAACTAATTGATTGAAATGGAACGTACGTTGATTTCACCAACTGAATCTTAGTAAGAGGTACAGAGTGGATTGAGTAACGCCCTTATATGAAAGGATCCTTGAGTTAGCGTCCGCCTGCCCACTCGTAACCAGTAATTGCATAGACTGCTCAATACATATCAAAACTGGAAAAATTATTTGCAAACTTTTGTGTATTCCGATAATGCCTCTCCCCTTGTGTAAACATATGCGATTATGAGAATCTTGTTAAAGGTCATTCAAAAGATCTTTATAAGCTACACTTTATCTAATGGAAGGATTGCCAAAATTAACGAAGACACAGACACAGAAAAATATTCTTTATCTGTCTCAGAACTTTGTTAGATTTTGCAATATGCTGAGCTGGCTATCTTCGAACAAAGATTTACTAATTTTGTCGTAAACTATAAATTTCGTACGGGACACAGTGGTATAAAATATGAGAAACTATCTCAGCATTATTCTATTGAGACGTTTCCTAATCAATATAAAAAAAATTGAGATAAAAACGAATCATAACGTTTACCTGTTTAAAATCGAATTAAAGTCTTGAAATAAAGACTTCTCTCGAACCCAGTAGCGCATTCTGTCCGAAGGACTGTTTCAATTCGACAATGTTCAAGCTGAACTTTGTTGGATAGAACTACTTTTCAGTAGCTTCTCTGAATTAAGGGTCTTCATGCCTTTTGTAATAGTAAAAGGACGTGGCTCTTCTTTAGCTTCAGAAATCACAGAAGTTTACCTGACGGTAACAATACAGGAGAACTGTAGCAAACGTTCAGAAGTTGCTGCGAGATTTCCAGATGTGGTGAGAAAATCTACTTGAACTATATGATGATATTCATGGGACACTGCCAAAAAGAGGAAACGTAATCAAATTGTTCATGAAAGTAAACCATTTTTTATTTCTGATAAAGAGATGCATTTTTAACGCCCTTCATTAATGTAAGAAGCATTGGAACATACCTGTTTTTCCGGCTTATATTCTCATACATCCTTTTAGGCTTGTCAAGTTGCCCTTAGCTTTGGCTGCTTATCCGCCAATAGCATATACACCAGGTAAGATAGAGCTCTTTTCTTACAATAAACCACAGAAACGCTTACCCAAATTTGTGTTCTAGAGAGATCTTAAGCTCGACTTCGCGTGTTTTTGCTTTTAAGCTGTCTTTGGTGATGAAGAATAATCATGGTTTGACAAATGTATTATGTGACGGACAGCTGTTGATTGACATCAGATTCATTCTATCGAGCTTTATTAGTCATTGAAGGAAAGAAAACTTCTAATGAAAAAACTTAATACATTTTCAGGATTGAATGTAGTCACTGAGGTATAAAGGTTGTGACTTTTAAACTGGTGTTCTAGTTTTTTTATGTACTCTTCTGTGTCCTTCTCAAGGTGTGGCAGTGTTGTTCTCGACTTCATGATGAAGCTCAATCAAAGCGTAGTTGTCAGCCATGTTTTGACTTTCCTGTCGGATGCTGCTAGGAAAGACAAATTCGGAGTTTTTAAAGTCGATCCAGCCTCAATAAAACAAGTTTTGATACCCACAGATGGCTTGGACAGCCCAACACAAGGTAAACAATACAAAATAATTGTCTAAGACCAAGCTGAAATGAGCAAATATGGAGACCGTGATTGGATCTCAGTGAATTCCTTTAGCTGAAAAAAGCAACGAGTGTTTAATGTGAAATGCGCAAAACGATTTGAGAAGGGGCTGGGACAGACAGAACAAATCAGTCATTCTCATCCACATTATTAAAAGTACTCTGTATCATCTCAAAATGCTTCGTGATAAGGTGATCTTATAATTATTATCGAGGAGGAGACAAACTGAATTTCATTACCATGAAATCCTAGGAGTAAGATTTCATAATATTAATTACAGGTGTCTTCGAAAATGATGGACTTTTTCTATTTGTTTTCCACATATATTTTATCAGCTCCTCATTTTTTTCAGGGATATGTCGTCATGTTAATGTTGTTGTTTTTGTTCGATAAATAAGTTGCTAGTCATCGGATCCTTGCGTTTTCACAAAGATTTTTGGGAGCGCCACCGGGCAAACATTGCAGCACGCTAAAGAGAAATGTATGACGAAAAGCAGTTGCGATGTGCAAAAGAACGATTTTTGAGAGAGATCAACGCTTTTTTGCCGTAGTTTTACCATAGATGAATTAAGATAATTGAATACATGGTAGGTGTAAGTCTTGGTTGGAATTACCCGAAATATGTTATAAAATATACCGTTAAGCTCTTTCCTTGCGTGAGGTCTATTGTGAAATCGTCATCGCGGAAAGGTCTTGACTTACTACAAAGTTAGCCATAAATGGCCAGAAAATAACTCATTTAAGTTTTATCAGTTATATTTATGTATGCATAGCCTGTATTCATACTTGTCGAGGTATTAAATATTCAACTTACGGCGTCTACAAATATACCTCCGCAAGGGAGAAAAATCGTTGCCAGCGTGATGGAAATGTTCTTTAGCCAAGCTGTTGCTCTTTGAAACGATGGAATAAGCGATGAAAAACACGAGGAAACTCCTTGGTCAAGCGATAGTTTGTTTGAGAAAATTCCAAACGTTTCTGAGCTGCCACTTCTCTCCTCGAGTTCCTTTTAGGGAAAGGCAAGATCAGGGGAAGTCCTGCAGAAACTGTAGACGTCTATTCAGTTGTGGCATCGCTCCTTAAGCGACCTATTTGTACATAATCACCTCGTGGAAGAAAAGATTCACTTTGATTCCGATCATTAACGCTGGTTCGTTCTTGCAGATATAGATAAGAACAAAATAAGCAAAGTAGGTGTTAAATCAATTTAATGTATCACGATAATATTTAATGCTCAAGCACACCATTTCAATCTCCTGCTGTTTCAAGGTAGCTCTTTCAGCGCTCTTTGGCATTACCAAGCCCAGAAAATAGCTAGAGGTACACCTAACGTATTTAAACAGAACTGAAAAGGTTTTAATGAGTTGTTCCTTGGCGAGTCATACGCAATATTTGTTAGTTTCACAATAAACCTTGCGCACGGAGAAACGTTTTTCGGTCGACTTTGCTACATATTTCGTGGTTGTTCTAACTACACCTTACGCATCCCTTGCATCGGTGTGATCCGAAGCAATTTCTGATTGAAAAGCGGCGAAAAAGCGACCTTTCCCAAAAACTGTTTTTTTAGAATTTGAAAGTGCTTTTCGCCATACATTTTTTCTAGCGGGCTGCGATGTTTGCCCCGAGGCGATCCTGAAAATCTTTAGGCAAACACAAGGATCCGATTGTCCACAACTCATTCATTGAACACAGTTTTTTTTCAAAAATGCTACAGCTAGAGTAGCGCCAGATGTTTTCCTAATACATTTACCTTGCCAATTAGAGTGCGTATTTTATGATCACAGACCTAAGCCGCGTAATGAGGAAAGTGTATCGGTCAGAATCATCACAAACCTTGTTTGAATGTTCCTTTATTAAAATTTCTAATAAAAAGCCAATCATTTTAGGTCCTGAGGAATCTAACTGTCCCTGTAACGATGTCTTGTTAAAAGCCATAATTGGGGTTCTTGTCTTCATCATCTTTCTTCCATTAGTTTACATAGTTTGGCTATACAGGAAAGGTAAGCAACAATTCATTATTTTTGTTTAAGCGTTTGACTGCCAGATTCGTTATGAAAGGAAAGAATATTTTTGAACCACTTCCATATCATTCATTGTCCTTTATCCTTTTGGTTATTTTTCAGGTGCTCTTGGAAAACAGGGGTAAGAATTAGCATTTTTCACTACTTGGATTGTGTTGATTCAGTGCACCAAATATGGTATTATCTTGGCATAAAATGTCACTAAAAGCAATGAAACTCACGGTTGTTTATAAATATTTTTATGCTTTCTCAATTGTAGGACCTATGAAGATGTAAAAGGTGTTTACGACGTAAGTTACAACTAAGACGTTAGGGTCATGTTGGTGTAAACAGGAAATTGAATATTTCACTTTACCTCTGCACCTTCAAGCAAACACTTATGTTAAAATAAATAGAAAAGGTGGGATTTCCGAAAAAAAGGTTATATATATACATATATGATAAATGTGTGTGTGTATGTATATA